GGGCCTGGGGCGGGGGGAGGACAGGATGACAGGACCTTCCCAGGCCCTGCCCTCAGGCAGGTGACAGTGAGCGGGCACGTGAACATGCTGCAGTGAGCATGCTGCAGTGTGACAACGTGTGATCCCCCCATTCCAAGTGCTTCCTCAAGATGTCTGCACCTTCCCACATCACACCTGACCCTGACTGCTACCAGTTCTCCACACCCCTCACCTCTCTTCCCACAGGCATCCCCTCCCTCCACTCCTGCTAAGCCCCATGTGGAACTCAGCCCTCTTCTCCGTTCACCACAGAAGCCAAGCTGCACAAAGCCTTGGGACACACAGCCGCCCTTCCAGAAGGTTATGGAGGTGGGAGGGGTTATGCCACAGCCACAGCCACACACACCAAGGCAGCTTGACTATTCAATTCCCCGTTTCCACCAGCTCTGCCAGCAGTCGCCATGTGGCTCACCCTGTCCCCAGGCCTCACCAGCAGTTTCCCTCCTGCTTTGTTGGAACGATTGGGCTCCCTCCAGTCTTTGTCCAACCTCTACTCCAGGTCCCCATCACAAGTCCAGAGAAGCCTCCGCCGTGTTGCCAGCTCAGGGCTCACCTCCACCCACAAAGATTTATTTCTGCACTGACATGATAGCTGCAGTTTGTTGTTCCTCCTCCCACAGAAAGAGCAGCACTTGGGTTTTAATGAGTAAGTGTAGTAAACCCAGAGGCTGCAAGAATGTGGGAGGGGGCAGTGAACGGAGTCTGGGGTTCAGGGAGATGCAGCAGGGAGAGGAGTTGGAGAAGGTGAGGCTGGGGGTGGCGTGAGGGAAGGGGCCACCCTGCCTTGAGGGCCTCTCTGTGTCCCCCACTGTCCCTTATGCAGAGCTAGAGTTCTCTGCATTAGAATTCTCTCGGTTGTGACTGAAACTCTAGCCAAACAGGCAAAAAATAAGGGCATTTCCTGGCTCCTGGGCTGGGATATCTGGGATCTAGGGTATCAAACAATGTCATCTGGACTCGCTGTTTTCCCACCTTTCCATTCCACCTCCTGTGCTGGCTTCTTTGTAGGGCCCATGGCAATGGCTCCTGGCTTCTGGCCTCCCTGGCCTCCTAGAGTAACACCCCAATGAATTCAACAAAAATCCTAGCCTGGAATCTCTCAGGCCTGGCTTGGGTCATGTTAAAAGGTAAACTGAGGCATACTGAGAATGTTAAGAGTTTGAGCAGAATTCACTTCAGATCTGGCAGCATCCAATGTAGCAGATAGAAAGGAGCTCAGAAGAGCTGCGCAGAATGGAAGACTTTTATAGGCAGAAGGGAGCAGGAATGAGGAAGTTATACTCAGCAAAAAACGTGAGCTGGTTATTGCCAGGTCACGCTCCTTATGGGGATGGCAGGGGTTATCAGGCAGATTGCCTAACTAGGGCTGATCGGTGACTCCTGATGGACTGCCTTAAGGTTCCATTTCTGGGGGAGGAGAAACTGTAGTTAAGTCTCAGTTTGGTGACATGGGGCTTAGCATAAGCGACTCCATGTTGAGCCTGTTGTCATGTTTTAAACAGTCTCGTGCCCATTCGGGAATCACCTGCTGGCCCAGAGGGGTGTGGTTCTCTGCTTAGCCAAGTTGGGGTCCAAAGGCTGACCCTGGAGCCAGGGGGAAAGAGGTGTCAGCCCAGTTGTGCCAGAAGAAAAGAGAATGGATGCTGGGAAGCAAAAAACAAGGGTTCACTGCCTTTTAGAGGATAAGAAACAGTGTTTTAGAGAAGGGCAGGGATTGCTAAGGTCATCAGCTCACCAAAACCAGGACAGAACTCAGACCCTGGTCTGACTGAATGCCCTGTGCCGCCTCCTTTCTCCATCATCAGGACTAGGCCCACAGGCAGCCACCATGAAGGAAACTGAGCTGGTGCTGGGACTGCCAGTCCCCTGTGGGTCTTTAGCATGGTCTTGACTTGCTTCAACCAAGAGCTGTTTGTTCAGATTCAAATAGCAACTGTTTACCCACAGGAGCACAATTCGCAGGTCTGAAAGGGAGAATCCTGAGGAAGCACCTCTGTGGCTGCAGGTGCTGCTGGAAACGTGGCTCTGGGACAGCCAGCTCCCACCCTGACTGCCCATGTGCTGGCCTCGATCTCCAGGGAGCCCGGGAGCCTGCAGCCAGCTCCCACCCTGATTGCCCATGTGCAGGCCTCGATCTTCGGGGAGGCCCAGGAGCCTGCACAGCAATATAAGATAATTTTGATCTTAGACAAAGAATTCCTATATGTCCAGGAGCCTGCACAGCAATATAAGATGATTTTGATCTTAGACAAAGAATTCCTATATGTCCTTTTACTCAGATTGCTGGCATTTTGCTGCATCTACTTTATCACTCACTGTCTTTCTCTCTGGAAGACCTCAGGTGTAGACATAATGTCGCCTTACCCTTAAATCCTCCAACGTGTATTAAAGAACACAGGTGTTCTCTGTCATGTTACAGTGACTCAGTACTACTTCCTAGTATTTACGTTTTATCAGTTTTCCCAATAATTTGCATTATGGCAACTGTCCTCCTCCTCCCCTATTGGGATCTGATCCAGGGACAACCATTGCTTTTCATTGCCACTTCTCTAATCTCCTTCAGTCGTTTCTGTCTTTCATGACCCTGACGATTTTGAAAAGCCCAGGCCAGTGGTTTCAGTGGATAGCCTGCATTTTAAATGTTTCCCTGGTGATGAGACGCCCTCTGTGATTTGAGGACCATGACCCCCGAGTGGTCTTCCTGTCTGAGCCCCAGGAAGGCACAGCTGGGCCCACATCTTATTCACTGGGGTCCCCACATCTGGCTTAGTGCCTGGGCTTGGGAGCTGTGTAGACCAGGGCCTCCAGCCACTCGGTGACTTGGCAATGGCTCAGCTTCTCCAGCCTCATTTCCCCCATCTGTAACCCAGTGTGAGGGTGGAGGGTGGTGTGGTCTAGCCTGACTTTAAAGGTCCTTTCAGCTTTAAAGCTTGGTTGTGGGCCTTCAAAAGGTATAGCTCAGGACCCCTTTCCTCCCATGCTAGAAGCTGGATAGGATGTTGTGGGCCTCCTGTCAAGGCTTAGGGATTGTCTAAGAGGTGGGGCCTGTTTCTTGTTTCTAACGAGTGGAAGTTGGTAAAGATGATGGGAGGTCACTCCCTTGATCAGGTTCCATTCTATAAGGCTCCTTCTCAGCAGACTGGAGAGAGGCTCCACTTACTGGCTTGATGAACTAAGCTGCCACTGGAGGCAGCCCCTGTGGCAGGGAACTGTGGGTGGCCTATAGGATTGGCAGGTGGCTTTAGCTGACAGCCAACAAAACCTGGGGCCCTCAGTCAGGAGAGAGGAGATGGGGGAGGGTCAGCAGGGGTCAGGCCTTGCATCTGGAAGGCTTTCAGGCAGAGGTGGGAGAGATGGTGCCAGCATCTTCCCTGCCAGCCTGGGTCACCCCGACCACTGCAGTGCTCCTGGCTGGCTCACTGCTGTGGCACCAGTTACTTAGCTCCCACCTGCAGCTGTTTCTTCCCCTTTCCCTCCTCTGTGCCCTAGTCCCCATTTCTAAGTCCCTCCTTCCCAGAAAATGTGACTTCTTCTCTTCATCTTGCTGAGGGAAGTTCTGGCCTCGACCTTGGACTTGAGATCTCCTCATCCCACCTACCTGAAGAGGGAGGGGTTCTCTCTTCTGTTCCAAAATTTGCCCAATTCCTCCCAAAGGCAACTGGGTTTCTTCATATTCCAACCTAAGCTGTTACCCAGGGCTGCAGACCTCTCAGGGAAAGACTAGAACTCCCCCGGGAAAGAGACTCGACACTTGGCCCTGAAAGTATTAATTCAAACAAGCAAATTGGATCTGTCTTCTCTGCATCTCTCCCCATAGTCGAGTTAGAGGAGGTTGTTGCTGTAATCACATTAGCAACTGGGAGATGGGCCAGCTATTGTACGAGCCTGACGGAAAGCAATGTGGGCGAGTGCAAGGTCAAGCAAGGCAGTGGTGAGGACCACACTGACTGCTGGTTTATGGGGCAGTGACTCAGGGTTCCTGCTCCTCCACCAGCCCCAGAGCCAATCTGCAGAGCAAGTGGAGGCTACAGCAGGTCACTGGTGTGGGAGGAAGCAGGGATGCTTCTGAGCCGTGACTCAGGCTTTGCCCACTGAGGCAGCCAGAAACCAGACAAGACAAATCAACGCCCGCTGCTCCTTGTGATGGAGACAGATGGGGTGGACCGCACATCTGGAGTTGGGTCATAGAGGATCACATCTCTGCATGAACAGGTCTGCTCTCTCTCAGCCAGCCATCTTCTAAGCTACCTTCTCCACACCAGATGGGAAATGCACAAAGGTAAATGCAAGGCCCTGTTTGAAACCCTTAACTAGACCTATAAAACCTCTCTGCCCTGCTCTTTAGGGGCATGGTGGCAACTCGTTTTTCTGCAAAACTTTGCTACCGTGAGAGATGTTTTGAAAGGATTGCCAAAGGTTTTCAAGAGCTTTTTAATGTTGAACTTCTAAAAAATTGCACTTTGTCAAGAGGCAATTTACCCAAACATTCAAGTCTCTTCTAGGTCCTTTCAGATTCGTACAAGGGGGTGGTTGTCTCAGGGAAGGGCTTCACAATGGAATCTATGAAATGTGTTTTCCAAATGGGCTTATTAAAAAAGCATGTCTGGCAGGGACCAAGACCGAGGCAGCCTGCAAAATGGATTTCTTTCACAGGGAGAGTGAGTCTAGGAATTATCCATTTTATAACTGGAGCGTTCTATACTTATTCTATTTTCTCCACACATTATAACCTGGAACTAGATTACAAACCTCGGAGAGTCCTGACCACAAAGGGCCCATAACCCCAGTCACCTGCCAGGGCTGGGTGCCAAATAAAAAGGGCCTCCAGAGTGTCAGATCAATTTGTCTCCACCGCCGATTTTCAGAAAGTGTGGGAAGTTGGGGGAACTCCAAATAAAAAGATGACAGAACTGGACTGGTTTATACTCCCTCCCCTCAAACACTCACTTGGAACACTCACATCGGATGCTTGCTTGTAAAGTTTATTGACAACTGTTTGGTCCCAACACACAAAACAGCACTTGAACCACAAAACGTGTTCAAACAAAATAGACAGTTAAGAAAAACATCTCTCCCCCAAGCCCAATCCAAAACAAACAGTGCAAGACGGGGAAGGGGGTTGTGGTGGTAACTTCTGTCTTTTTTTAAAGATAAATCTAATCCGGCATATCTTTCCACCGAGAAATCAAGAATTTCATTGTCTTAATTCTTATATATCATTTTGTTACATCATTTAATTAAGCTTCTGGATAAAAAAAATAGATAGTAATTGGACTGGCCATTGTGGAATACATTAGGAACACAATGAACTTCGCTGTATTGTCCTATCTTCACACAGCTATTGTTAGTCATACACGTGGCCCAGGCTGACTGGCGACTCCAGCAAATGGTGCGACCACACTCACATGACTGCATACGACGTCAGTCTCTTCTTTGTTGCCCAAAGAAGTTGCTCTTTGAGACTGTTCCTTGTGACTTGTAATAGTACCTTATGTTTTTTTTAAGTCCACAGTTCTTTACATGAGAGCAAAACTAAAGTCCAAGTGTGCAAACTCAGCCTTACGAAATCTCAGGATAAGGCAACTGATGTTCTCAACACTAACTCTATCCCATTGTTTAAAAGCTTCTTTTAAAAAACTGCACATTTGCATTGTACTTCCTGTCCCACTACGTCTGTGGAGGAAAAGCCTCCAGCGGGATCGCAGGGTGCCATCACGCTCAGAGGCTTTTCCAGTGTAGTTCCATCTTGATTGGGGCTACGTCTTGAGATCTGGGAATCACTGGCTTCATAGAAAAGATTTGGGGAACAAACATCTATCTTGTAAAAATCTCTCTATAGCCCTTATTTTGTGGCATTTTATTAAAATGCTGGCTATAAAATCAGAGCCCATTTTCTGGCTTTCCAGAAATTACAAAATATAAGCATTTCCCCCAAAGAAACCATCTAACTAGTGGAAGACCTTTTGTCCACAGGTTCTTTCTGCTCTATGAATGAACCCGCCTTTTGCCCAACAAATACAACCCATTGTAAATGTCAGGTTTCTCTAGGAGGGGCGAGAGGCCACCTGTCACCGGATGCCTCAGCCACCTCGGGGCGAAGGTCATTCAATAGGGCAGTGCTCCCTCACAGGTTGGCTTTTCCCAAATACCAACACAGATACTAAAAAAAACCTGCACATGCTTCCAACAGTGAGAAGTAACCGAGTTAAAGTAGACACTGTTAAGACACACAAACACATACACATACACATAGAGCTTCCCATCTACCAAAACCAGCTTTAAAAGGACAAAAACCAAGTTAAGTTGATCACCTTGGCCTTTATATGTTTAGATATAACTTCGGTGTGTTCCTGGTGGAAAGAGTATCCGTACCGCCCCAGAGGAAGCACCTCCCCCTCAGCTGGTTTGTACTTTATGCACAGCATACCTGAGAAGGAGGCACTCTTCCCAACACTGCCTCTTGACACACAATCATGTGTGGACTTCTAACACTGACTTCAAATTCACGACACCAAGACCCTCTCCTTCTCCTTTACCTAATGCATGTCAAACTGGAACTTAACATAAAAGGGAAGCTTAAATCATCAACTTTCTAGAAGCTCCTAAATGGAACCCCACAGTGGAAACATTTAAAAAATTCTGTGATGAAGCCGCATTTGTCAACTACAGACATAGTTAAATAAAAAACAAGGCACTCTTACAAGTCACGTGGAAGCCAGGAACCTTCATATCCAACCTGAAAAGACATTCTTACTTCTGGCCCACCCTCCTTCAGTGTGTGAACACGCAGGCCACTGAACAGGCTTTGCTTCAAGACACATCATGCATATGATTAATACCATCTGAAAACATCAGTAAGCAAAGGCTCAGAGACTATATTATGCTACATGGAGGATGATACCACTGATGGGGCTTACTGGAAGTAAAACTACTTCCTTCTAGCCAAGCTCTTACTGCTTTCTTCTTATGGAACACCATTATATTTCATAATAATTAAGAAAAAATTGGTAAAATATATTAAGAATTCTTTAACAAATGCCAGGAATTTTGTTTTCAAATCATTGGGGGGGGGGGGGAGGGGGGTAGAAAAACTTTAGCTCCAAGCTGTGTTCAATGGAAAAAAAACGAAACGTAAGGAATACAGCTAAGGATGGAGGAGGTGGCTTCTAGGGGGTTTTCATTAAAACAGCAAGGGCTGTGTCTTCTGAATCCACTCTGTGTGCAGAATCAGACAGTGTTCCCGTCCTACTTCTATGTTCAGAATGAGTCAAAGCTTGGTTACAGGTGCAAAGGAAAAGTTGGCTGCCAATTTTACTCTATTTTTGGGCTGCTTTTTGGCTGGGCTTTCCACAGGGCCCTTGCTGAGCTGGGACTCTGGGGTGTCCGAGGGGGGGCAGGGAGGCGCCGGGACAGCGTCTGAGACACAAGAGGAGCTGGAGTCGGAGGTCAGCTTTTTGTTATTTACTGGTTCAGTGTTCTCTTCTTGGTTTAAAATCATAACTTCTGTAAACACAGAGAAGCAAACAGATTTAGTTCTAGGACCTGCAAGAAGTATTGGTTTTCAGTTTCTCTCTCATATTTTCACAAAAAATATTTAAAAAATAACCCCCCAAATGTCACACCCATGCCACCATTTACATATAAGCTGTGTGGCCAATATTATGTGTCACAGTCAAATGTTTATTTATTTATTTATTTATTTTAAATATATTTTATTGATTTTTTACAGAGAGGAAGAGAGAGGGATAGAGAGTTAGAAACATCGATCAGCTGCCTCCTGCACACCCCCTACTGGGGATGTGCCCGCAACCAAGGTACATGCCCTTGACTGGAATCGAACCTGGGACCCTTCAGTCCGCAGGCCGACGCTCTATCCACTGGGCCAAACCAGTTAGGGCCACAGTCAAATGTTTATAAACTGCATCTCAGCTATCCCCTGGATTACAAAGTTTTAGAATTCTTCACTTTTGCCTTCAAATCAATGAGCAATGATGTAAAAACATTGTTTTCTACTTTGGCTTCTCTGCCCATTCACTCTCTCTGTCAGGGAGTTAAGGACCCAGGAGGGCCCTGGCAGAGGACTGGCCCTGACAGAGGACCTTACTCTGCAGGCCAAAGTGGGGAGAGGGGGGGAATTAGGGGTATGACACGGAGTCATAACTGCCCTGGAAAATCCAGGAAGTCACACCCAGCAGTGCTCCTGAGATGCTGCTGTGCATACAGAGCCATGCTGCCTGGAGGAGGTGCACTGGTATACCTCAACTCCCACTGCTGTGCAAGGGCTCTCACTGAAGGCACGCAGAAGGTGAGAGTGACGGAGGGACACACAGCCAGCTCCCTTCTCGGGCTGGCTTTCACTGAGGAGAACAGCAGACAGAACTGCTCACACCATTCAAAGTAGTTTTCTCTCTTGTAACGTGTGATGGCTGCTGCATCTAGTGGTGCACGTATGCTACAGGCACCCAGGCTACCACCCCAAGAAAGAGCTTGTGTCAGTCTCCCACCAGCTCTACTCATGCTCTCCAGGGAACATGCCCTGCTTTTACCACAGGCTCGATCAGTCTCAGAAGCCGAGCGTATGGTTCCCGGATGAACAGCTCAGTTCTCTCACTGCTCTAGAATGCTGCTAGAGAAGACTAAGGGTGTGAGATCGGCCAGGTGGCCAGGAACGGTCCCTGTGGCCGGGAAAGCAGCTCAGCAGCAGGGTGGAGAAGAGCTGCTCACACGGGGGGGACGACAAGACAAGGAAGTTCCTCGTTTGAGCGAAGGGCCATCCTCTCAGGTCAGATGATGCAGCAGAAAGACAGGCGGCCTTGGGTTCAAATCCTAACTCTGCCACTTCCTAGTCAGGCAGCCTGGAGCCAGATTCATCTCCAGTCACCACACAAGCTCTGCCTGCCACCTAAATGTGCTGAGTCTGTCAGCCCCAGCGCAGTGTCAGGCACGCAGGGGGAGCGGGGCAGCACGGGCTGGAGCCAGTGCGCAACCCCATCAGCGTCCTCTTCCTTCTCAGACACCGTGCAGGGTCTGCAGTCAGGCAGATGCCCATCCCTGCCCTCTCACCCCTCAGAAAGCCCCACACCCCCTGGAGCCATCATGGAGACCCCGCCAGAGGGACGGCATGTTTGGTGATGAGCGTGCCTCCTCTGTGGCCCAGCTGTACCATCCCTCAAGTCGCACCATCACTCCCTTGCTTGCTCCCTAAGCCACCTCAGGCTTGGGAGGAACCCTGACAGGAAAAGAGGGTCCTGAATAATCAGCACAGGTATTTTGCGCCTGAAAAGATATAGTTTCTCCCACCTCCATCAAACACTTACTATATTGGCATGCGATTTTATCTTTTAAGCCCACAACACAGTATATCCTACCAGAAGGTTCTTGAGGGTGTTCCTCAAACTGAATGAGATCAGCAGACTGAAGGATGACAGGATCTGGCCTCAGCTGAGGGGACGGCAGGCAGGAGGGCACGGGCGCGCACAGTAGGTCCACGGGGGAGGCACTGGTCAGGCGGAGAAGCTCCTGCTCCGTCGGACTGGGCCCTGGACAGGAGAGATAGGTATGGCTCATCAGGACAGTCCACACAAGTCTGCCTGAGGCTTTGTTTCAAAGCCTTAAACAGGAAAAGTGGCAGGAAGTACTCAATAACTCAAGGTTTAAAAAAAGGCCATTAACAGAAAGATCTGGGTGTGTCTTTGGTAAGTGAAGAGCCACAAGCCAAGATCTCCCCCGAGACCCCATCTGAGAAAAAGGGCCCCACAGTAAGCTCCCAGAGGAGGGAAATAAAAACCCACAGAAGGGGTGTATAGTAGTTAAAGGAGCAAAGCTCAGCATTTACAAGACTTGGGTCCAAGTACTGTCACTTCCTAGCTGAGTGATTTTGGGTAACCTACTTCACCTCCGGGAATTTTGGTACGTAGGTAACAACTGCTGAAGGTTGTGACAGCTGGGAGAGATGGGTTACATTAAGGTGCTTTATAAAATGTAAAGTGTTACATAACTGAGTAATAAACACAGAACACAGTAACACTTATGACTGTCAGAGTCCAATGAAGACAAAATTCTCATACATAACAATGGATTCAAAAGTCTTTCAATAAAGTTAAAATTCAATTCAAGCGAGCTGATTTACATCTACAGAGATAGTTCCACGTAAAATCTAAGTGACTCAATGTTGTTTTGAGTAACATGAATGAATTACCATCAGTCTTTCCCAGGGATGTCCTGCTATTAAGACTCTCCCTGACCCAACTTGAGACTCCTCTTAGCCCTCTCCTCCGCTAGACCCTGACCTTGGCCTCCCATGTCTGTCCTGTCCTTGCTGCGTCTCAGCAAAAATCCTGGGAAGTCAGTTTACCGAGAATCCCCGAGCCATGCAATCTGATCAAGTTCCTTACCCTCCACCAGCACCCACTCCACTCTGCCATGTCTAAGTCCTTGGCCTGCCTTTAGCAAGGATCCTCTTAGGTCTGTTAGGCTAGAATCCCCCTAACCCTCATGTCTCCCCTTGGTGATTTTCCATCCACCGATGCCCTTGACTACAAACCCCACTTGTCCTTGTTGTATTCAGAGTTGAGCCTGATCTTGCAGCAGAGCTGACCCTATTGCAATGGTGAAATGCTGTTTTAAAAAGAGTGTCAGAATAATTTTTTCCTTTAACACCTGAATTGGGTTGACATGTTAACATTTGGAGGGGGAGCGGGGTGCTAGCATCCCTTAAGAACATTAACCAGTGAACCATAAAATACTATCAAATGTAGGCCGTTTTTTTTCTGTTATTAACCAAATACTTTGAAAAATGTGTGGATACTTTACTTTAATTCATGAAAATGGCACACTGAGTCCCTCCTACCCCATCCCCACTCCAAGCCATTTCTGCTAGAATTCACCAGCTTTGCCTTGTCTGTCCTTTCTTACCATCACCACCTGCTCCAAGTTTGAGTTCCATGGCTGTGCAAGACTTGGGCACCTCCAGGATACGCTCAGTAGCCGAGGGCCAGTTTGAATTCAAATGACCTAGAGGACAAAGAGCACCTGTCAGAGGGAGAAGTCAGTGAGAGAACCGGGATTTCTGCAGGGGCAGGGATGGGCGCTTACTTACTTTTCATGTCATTTTTTAACACTACAATTCTCTTATGACCATGTCCTTTTATCCAGACCACCTGCACACAAGACATACTCCTGGTTAAGCAATGGAAAAGGAGGAGAGATAAACCCTAAACTTCAGGAAGAATGTGACCTGTGTCTGCCTTAAACATACTAGAATTTAAAACTGAATTAATGCCAAGAAAAAAATTTTCTATACTCTTCTAAAGCAATAGAGGCTGGCAAAAACATGTCCCTTATAAAAAGCTATGCAGTCTAAAAATTGTGAGACTCAGCTTTAAAAATATTCCTTATGGCTTTTAAAAAGATCATCTTCTGAACACCAGTTCTGGTCTATAAATGAAGATCGTTCTCACATGAGAGCCCTTACTATTTTTTCCAGAAACTAAACACACCCAGAAGAATTCATGGAGATCTCCCAGATCCCTCAAACTAAACTCATTATCCTAATCCTAAACAAAGCCCTCCACCTAATGCTGCTGCTCTCTGCCTCTTCGGCCCAGCCCTGGGCTCCTGCCCACGTGTCCCTAACTACATGCTCTCTTATTTTCACTCAGGCTCAATCCCTTCACAACTCGCACCCTGACCTGGGCAATGGCCAGAGTACTGGCCACGCTCCCTGTTCCCTCCTGTTTCTCTCAACTGTACTATGCACAGCGGTGACTGTGCTATTTTTCACATGGAAACCTGAAGGCCTCTCCTTGCTCTTGAGTGCTGCTCCTTATCCAGAGGAGCAAAGCCCCCATAACAGAGCTCATACTTCGCTGTCAGGCATCTGCTTACGCATCCCCTCTACCTAGACTGCCCTCTCCCCTCTTTGCCACGTGGTCAACACATCCTTCACAACTTGGCTCTGGTGTCCGAGGGGCCTGCCCATGGCCCTCCACCGTGTGCCCACTGGTGGCTGCACTGATGGGGACTTATCAACTGCTGGGGTGTCCTGACTCTCTAAGACCCGACACCTTCCTGAGGGCAGGGTCTAGGACTTCATCGGGCATATGGGAAGTTAATAAAGCTTTACAGAATGAAGGAGAAACACTAAAAGCATTCATCTTATACAAACTGTATGTTATGCAAGGATCTGTTCAAAACGCCTGCCATTTCCTTATTCTGCTCAGGAGAGTAAGGCTGTGGCTCTCCAGGAAGACTCTCCAAGAAGCTCAGAAAACACCCACCTGTGGGATTGCTCCCAAGAGTTCCTCTACGCTACTGAAGCCGTAAGCCTTGGGTTGCACTGTTTCTCCGACATACTTGGAATAGGCCACGGAAAACTCATGAAGGAAAAGCTGCTGGTAGTGGTAAGTACGAAGTAAAGACCGCACATTCTTGGCAAACAAATACAGACTTGTGAGCTTCACACACTCCTCTGTCTTATCATTAGTGAAAACCTGGTCCAAGAGAAAGACGCAGCATTAGACACTCCCAGAGAGGCTGCCCCCACCCCCAGAAGTGAGGGCCTCCAGCTGAGAGTGACAAGGTGTCAAGTCAACCTAAAAATGCAGCCAAAGAGGAGGAGGGATTCATTCAAGGATCTCCTCCCAGAGAAAGCTGGAGCCTTGAGCAAACCCGAGGTCTATTTGCAAGTCCAAAAGGGCAGGGGTCTGGAGAAGCAGTGTGTCAGAAAGGGAGGAAAGTGGCAAACCTGGGGTCTCAAACAAAAAGGTTGGCATGAAGGTGGAAGGCAACCCCTTAGGCAGAGAGAGCTGTATCAGGCCTGGGGGCTGAGGCCACTAAAGCTCATCTCCCAAAGTGGTGTTCCAAAGAACTCGGTGGTGCAGGATGAGGATGTCAGCATTCTTCTAAAAAACAAAACCAACAAGGGAAAAATGGCCCAAAGCTCTTCTGTTTTCAAGTAAATTAAGCAAATTTCTTTACCATAAACCTTTTCAGAATCTTCAATGTGCACTGAGATTCTGCAGGAGAAGGGACATTTGCCAACCTCAGCTGGCCATGGAAAGCCTTTTGTCTTGAACATCCATTTACATTGCCAAGAACTGGTGTTCACATAACAGGTGATTAACAAGAGTTCAGAAAATGCTGAATTTGATTTTGTGACAGAAAAGGCTGAGCTAGACAGTAGCTAAAGTGGTAGTTTTTATTCAGGAACTACTGCCATAGGGGAAGAGAAACAGCCTTAGTAGAACTGGACTCACTTCTGAATACAGTTGACCCTTAAACAACACAGGTTTGAACTGCACGGGTCCACTTACATGCAATTATTTTTCACTGGACACCTGTACTGTTTTTGATCTGTGGTTGGGAGTCCACTGATGCAGAGGGCCAAGTGGATGCACTGATCTATGCCACTTTATATAGGAGACATCTGTGGATTTGGGAATCCGAGGGAGTCTGGGAACCAATCCCCTGTGGATACCGAGAGACAATGGAAGTCTTTGGGGAGTCAAACATTATACATGATGTTCGACTGTGTGGGGGTGGTGCCCCAGTTCTCTATGTTGTTTAAGGGTCAACTATATAACAAAGAAAAATGGGGATTTATAGCCAAGGGAGGAGGGAGGCTGTTGATGGATGGAAAATTCCTAACTGACATCCAAGGTTAAGGTCTAGTCTAAAACAGCGGTCACCAACTGGTGGTCCGCGGACCACTGGTAGTCCATGAGGTCCGAAAGGTTGGTGACCGCTGGTCTAGAAGGCTGCTCAGGGGAGCCTGAAGGAAGTTTGGCCAAGGAGAAATTTTCTGTCAATACCTTTTAGTTATTTAATTATTGATCACATGGTTATATGAGAACAATGGTATGTTACTTTTGGATTTTATTGGTTAATATCCTATTTAGACTCACTTTCTTTTGAGTGACCATATTAAGCTTTTGGTATTCAAGTTTGGTATTTTGGCTTCATAAAATGAAATTGGGAGCTTTGCAACAAGTGGCCTAGAATACTTTTTAAGAAGTTCATTCTTTGAGGGTTAGTTAAAACCCAATTGTTAACCCATCTGGTCCTGGTGCCTTTTTCAGTGGCAAAATTTCAATGACATTTAAAGTCTCTTTTGTGGCAAATAGTCTAATTTTTAATTTCCAGTCAATTTTGATAAATTTTTCTAGGACCTTATTCTCTAACAATTCTTCTAATCTTGGAAGTGCCATTCTTGAAAGGGTGCCTTGGGTGACCAGCCAGTCAATGTTCCTTTCTGACCTGTATCTGACTGGTAAGTCACCTGAAGTCACCATGTAATCGCTCTAATTCAGAGAGAGGTACAGTAGTAAAATCCAGCCCAGGGGTCCTCAAACTTTTTAAACAGGGGGCCAGTTCACTGTCCCTCAGACCATTGGAGGGCCGGACTATAGTTTAAAAAAAAACTATGAACAAATTCCTATGCACACTGCACATATCTTATTTTGAAGTAAAAAAACAAATGTTTTTGGCGGGCCGCATGTGGCCCGCAGGCCGTAGTTTGAGGACCCCTGATCCAGCCTAATGCAGGACAAAAGTTCCCCAGTTCAAGAATCAGGAGGCCAGGGCTTTTGGCCTGGCTTGACACTCATTTGGGTAGGTTGCCTCTGTTTGTTCAACTATAAAATGACCACTTGGTCCCTTTCAGCTCTAAACCCTCTAATCTAGACCACTAGGTAATCCAGAAATATCCAACTCAACAGTTTCATTACAATGGCCCTAAAGAACCATTAGCACTCATACCTCAACTAAGTAAGGCAGACTTTTCAGAAGTTCGGTCAGGGTCATGAACCCATATTCGAGGGGGTTGAGAAGAGTGCTGTGAGTAGCTTCATAATGTCTCTTGAGCTCATCAACCGAAAGAAAGGTGGCTCCTTCCCAGGACATCAACAATACCAGCAGCTGGGCAGTGAGAGAGCGCAGGGACTTGCGGTTGACCAGCTGGATCTGTTTGCCAGATTCCGTATCAGTAACCTGGGGAAAACAAGAATTTAAACTTATCCAAACTCAGCTAGTTTCATTTGGCTAATGGGACCCCTTAAGGAAAAGTCTCTAAATCTTTCTCTTAAATTGAAGTAAAGACTGGGTTTGTTTTCAGCTTCTTGAGGACACTAGACCAACCCTTCTAGTGAAATTATTCTCTCCCTTCCTCCTTGTCCATAACCAGAAACTTCCATCAATATCACCCCCTCTTAGGACATTCTTTCTACTGCCCCCTAAGGGAAGGGGACAAGACTGGCCAGCTGGCATCCACTGGTCCAGCTTGTGAATTAAGGGTTGCTGTGCTGGGGTGGAGGTGGTTAGACTGCAGGCGACACTCCACAGTGCTGCTCTGCAGACACCACTCACCCCACGTATGTGTCTCAGGGGCTAGACTGGGAGGTGATAGAAGGCTTATTCGGACTACCAGGTCCACTCTAACTAAAAGGCCAGCTGCATTATTCTAGTCCATTGTTACTTGCCAAAAGTTGGTATTTTCAGGACTGACTACGTGTCTAGGTCTCCATTCTTTCAGATTCTCAAGAAGGTAAAGGATTTCAGTTTTTAAGCACATTGGGAGGGAAACCTTGCAAAAAAGACACAAGTTACCATATGGGGACCAAGAAACATGTGAAGAAATAAGCATTTAGTGACTGAGACCCACAGGTCCTGGGAAGGGGTGAACAAGTCTGTGAATTGAGTCTTCAATGAAATTAAAATAGGCAGAGTTTCAGTATACACACTGCTTAGGCATTGGCAGGCAAACCAATATTTACTACTACAGCTGTTTTCCCATTTTTTTCTGACTTTCCAGCTCATTTTTAGAGAGAGTGGAGGGGGGGGGGGAGAGAAACATCGATGTGAGAGAGACACGAGCCTCCACTGGGGCTGGGGATGGAACCCAAAACCTAGGCATGTGTCCTTGACCAGGAATAAAACATGTGACCCTTCAGTGTGTGGGCCGACCCTCTAACCACTGAAACACACCCGCCAGGGCCTAGCTGGGGTTTGGATCCTCAGAGGCAGAGAGGTGGGTGGCACTTGATGAGACATCCCAATACCAGCGTGTCTATGCTTCTAATGTTCACCTTGGCCAAGGCTGGTGGGTAGACACCCCACTCCATTTATCAAGATTATGGATTTGAGATTTACACTACACATTTCCTCTGCAGGTGTGAGGGTTAATCAATCATATTACATGACCAGGGGAGTCCAAGTCATCTCTTAGATGCCCAGACCATTACTACTACTCCAGCCTTTCAAGGGAAAAAACAAACCTGCTCCTTTGATGCTACTTAGATACATCCCTTGACTTGCAGCCCTGGCTACACATTAGAATCACCCAGGCAGCTTATGAAAAATGCCAATGCTAAGAGCACACTCGGGCTAATTACATAAGAATCTCAGAGGCAGCGGTGAAATCCGGGCATTGGCATTTCCCAGAAGCTCCCCAGGGAATCGAGTGGAGCTAGGGTAGCCTTTCCCATCTGTCCCTGCCTCCACAGCCTAGCTTCCCAGTCATTCACCTTTATTCGTCAAAGTCTGTGGTCACCACTGCCGTCGTCCTGGGTGACTGAGCATCCCGGGAGCCTGTCCCACACCATGGCCTTTCAGTGCCTCTAATTTCTCATCTCCAATGACATCCTTCTACTTGATTCTACTCCTGACACCCATCCCCAGGGTCACACTTGGGATACTGTCAGTGCCCACTTCCAAAGTAATTCATTCAAACCTCCCATGCATCCTACATGCAAGTGGGAGCCTAGAGCAGATGCTGGGTGGGAGAAGACAAAGAGATTCTCATCCTTCTGCAACTTCACCAGCAATGACTCCTGTTTTCGCCCCTCTTTCATCCATCTTGGCACTGATGGGCCACTAGTTAGCAGTCTGTCAATACTCTAAACTCCTCTGTCCATGCCTTTTTGTTGTACCCATCTGGCAAAGTCTCACCTTGAGCCCAACTATCTGCTATCCTGGAGCTGCACTGAGCAGCCCAGCCACAATTTCACAGACTTCCAGGGGGTTCTCCATGCTCCCAGCACCTGTTTGATTTCCTGGTCACTCTTCCACTTACCGCCATGACAATTTCAGACCGTCTCCATGCTCTCCCCTCTTTAAGCAGTTGCCCTCACCTTCTACTTGACAGAAAAATAGCTCTTGGAAGATAACCCCCTTCTTTTCCTGGTGACAAATATCAAGTTTATCTGTATCTGCATCCACCCTACCTCGCTTTCCTCTTATCAAAATAAAAATATATCTTCGCCGTCTCTCCTTCCACTGAATGACAACTCTCACAACTCCTGCCTCCTCACCCATCACCCTTTCTCGCCTTTGTCTATTTATCTTCTCTCTCAAGTAGACCCTCTCAGTAGCTCTCGAACATGCTCACTTAGCCAGGTCCGTGGGTCACATTAGCCCCTGTGTCCCTTGACCTCTCAGTAGCATGCGATGCCACAGGCCATTCCTCCTCCTCCTTGGCCTTCAATGTTCCCCACTCCTAGTGCTCTTCCCACTCTCCCGCAGCTATGTCTGTCTTCAGGGAAGGTTTTCCCTCCTCTACCCGAGTACATAAACAGATTCCTTCCAGACCTGTGACTGGGGCTGCCACCACTTGGTGTGTTTTCCTTTCCATTTCTTCCTCCCTATAGTGAATTTTCTTGGTTCTGGGGTGGATGCAGCTTGAAAACTAGGGCTGGGAGGCTCAGTTCAGTGCAGGGCAGGGAAGAGGAGGAAGGTACTCTCTCCAATCCAGCATTACCAACAACAAAGATAATTCTCAGATAACTTGCTCCTACACCTAGTCCTTAAGTAAGTCAGAATTTGGAAGGAGAAGAGATTTGTGATTACAGTCTCCCCCAAACAGAGATGAAGATCTGTTTAGACTGATCCAACTTCAGGCCAGCAGTACTGAGACTGACACAACTGGGAATAAACACCCTGCAATAAAACAGTGACCTCATCAGTTCAAGACAACATCACTTTGACAAGGCCACTTCTAAACACACAAAGGCAAGTCCAAAACTCTAAACTGCCAAACCTAAGTCATCTTCTATTACCTCACAAGGTATTAATGACATAGAGAGTAAGCTGTGAAGCACTAAGTAGTGCAACGCGTACCTACAGAAATGCTAACGCACAGGTGAATGCCCCAAGGAAGATTATGCCACAAGTGTTATCCCATGAAAAAATCCGTTACCTTCACAACATGGCAGAGCTTCTGTGTTAAAGCTGAAACTGAGCTGACATCATAGTCTTGGAGACGAAACGTGTAACCAAAAGTCTTAGCATATTCTGTGAGCAGATCTGACATCATAAGGCAGTTATCTTTTTGGGACCGAAGGAGTTTAACAAACTGGGCAGCTAGAGCTTTGAATCGTTCTACCTCCGTCAAAGTGAGGATTTTTTCTTCTCCACATTCCAAAACCTTGGAAAACACACAGGAGGAGGAAAGGAACACCAAAAAAGTTACGATTATTCATGGAATTAAATAGCCTGAAAATTTGTTAATAACTAAAAAGCACTTTGGTGTTCTATAATAAATATAGTTTTAGTTTTGCAAGATTAAAAAGTTCTGAAACTTGGTTGCACAACAATGTAAATATATTTAACACTAAAGGTCTGGTGCATGAAATGTGTGCACTGCGTGTGTGTCTGTGTGTGTGTGTGTGTGTGTGTGTGTCCCTCAGCCTGGCCTGCACCCTCTCGCAGTCCCGGAGCCCTCGAGCCCTCAAGCCCTCGAGCCCTTGGGGGATGTCTGACTGATGGCTAAGCTGGCAGTCAGACATCCTTAGCGCTACCGCCACCGCTGTTGCGCTCGCCAGCCGTGACCCCAGCTTCTGGCTGAGTGGCACTCCCCCTGTGGGAGTGTACTGACCACCAGGGGGCAGCTCCTGCATTGAGCATCTGCCCCCTGGTGGTCAGTGTGCATCATAACGACTGGTTGTTCTGCCGTTTAGTCGATTTGCATATTAGCCTTTTATTATAAAGGATAACTGAACTGTACACTTAAAAATAGTTAAGTAGCTATAGGTAATGTGTATCTTTACCACAAAATTTTTTAAAATGTAAGATGCACTTTGAGGGTCGAAAATGGTAATGTTAGTAAAAGTCAACAAAAGTCTGGTTTAAGTTACCAATGACTTACCAGCTAAGCATTTGTATTGCTTTATGTACTCATCCCCATAAGAAATTTGAAAAGTATGGAGCTAATGAAAGTATATTCAACTTAAAAATTTAAAAGTAGTTAAGCCTAACCCTTTTTTCATTAATTACCCTAACACAAGTTTGAGGAATAATTTACTTCTATATTTAAGGAAAAACCCACAAACTAAATACTAATGAGCCAACAATATAGCTTCTCTGATAGAAATATTTCAAGTTTTGATTCTATTTTATAACTCCCTATTTCTCTGGGGGCGGGGGAGGGGAAGAACTTCTTCACTTACTTGTAGAATATTGGGTATGGCTTCAAAAAGTTCAAGTAGTTTGGTAAACCCATAGTATGCGAGTTTGCACTGCCGGCCAAAGTGGTGATGGTAAGAGGGGATGAACTTATTAAAGGGCATCCGGAAATGGGGCTGGTGCCTCAGCAAATCAACCACATCCTGGGAGAACTGTTTTGTCCTTTCTATTTCATCCTGGGTACGTTCTTTAAAACAAACAAACAAACACAAGTCACAACCTTCTTCTACCCATTTGTGCTTAATATTATTAGTCCTATGCACAGATTACATTTATCTTTGCCTTCTAAACACACAACCTAAAACAGACACTCCTCTCTTTGCAGATGGTTCTTAAACTCATTCAAGCACAAAACACCAGGCAGTCAGGCTATTATGTGTACAATGAAATACACATACACACAGATACACATCTATGTAGCTTTATCTTATAAACTAGAAATAATTTCTCTAGCCACCCACCCGTCTCCCACCGACCCCATACTGAGCATGACACACTTGAAAAGGTAACCTAGGAAAGACTGGCATTACTTGCCATAGCTGTGAAGTGCAATGATTTCATGGATACAGTGCTATGCAGGAGCCCAGGTTAAGAAAAACACTGATGAATAATAGTGGGAGAACATGACTGTATGCAGATTTCTCTCTCTTATCTCCCAGACCTCAACTGTAAAACAAAACATTGATGTGAGTTTTCTTTCCTTTTCAAGTGTGCGAGTGAAGTAGCTCAGAGTTAAAGAGACAGGTGGATTCTAAAACACTAGCTTGCTCTTCTTCTCAACAAGTGATCCCACCTACTCTGAAGAGCCTTGGATCCACTGCATAACCGCCGCTTTCACACAGTACTTTCCATGGAATCTTGGGAACCATGGACAAGCGGGAGAAAGATGCATCTCTTCCATGATGCCATGTTAAAACAACCATTTAGATAGATCTCTTTCTTCTAGTCAACATACCTCTTTTGGGGATACAAATCACCATTTCATTATCTTGTTGGGACAGGCAGATGGTTGTGTCTGGAATCTCCGATACAATATCGATCAACTCACAGACCCCATATTCGGTGACTTCCCAGTCCTTTGAGAAACACCTAGATTTTAACCATGGGAATAGGTTAACAATTACAAATATGGCTTGACAGAATAACTTTTATAAGTTTTCCAAAAGAATACTTCAAAAAAGTGTTTTAAAATATTTGCTTTCAAATTTTAAAGATTCTCATCAACTCACCAATGATAAGCCTGAGAGAATTCTCTCACAACAACCTGTTTGCTGGCCTGGGATTTGAGAAGTTTTAGTAAATCCTGAGTAAAGCGCTTCACCTGGGCCCTGTGTGTAAGGGTCAACAAGCGTTTGGAGCCCATTCCGAGAATCTGCAAATCAAAACCTGGATTACTTATACTTATAAAACCTTGGCAGATACTGACTTTCTTAATTCTGGCTTTTCTCCCTGTTACTGCCTCAGAGGACAACTCCCTTTATGCATGAGATCTTCATTTGGAAACACAGGTAGAGCAACAAACTGTGAACCAAAATGAACAACTGCTCCGGGCCTAGGACCTTTTCTTTGGCCCTGCACACTCTTCAAATAGTCACGAGTATAGAAACAAAAAGCATGGTATCAGTCTGGGTGAATAATTTTGTCTCTAAAGGACAGCTAAAGCTTTTTAGGCCATTTTACTATTATAATACTATAAATGAACAGGCAAGGACTTTTTTAGGAATCAATGGTAGGCTCCAGGCAGTAACTGTCTTCAACTCATTTATAAGAAAGGTAAGCCCATGTTCACAGCAGTTCCCATGTAACAGTGAACACTTTTGGAAAGATATGTGCTAGGGGGAAGGCCAGTCCATAGAAATTAGAAGGAAAATAACCCTCAGTGCTCTAAAGACTTTAAGTTGGAAGCTTGTAGCTTTCTAAAAATTTAAGCCACCCTGTGTATGTTTTCTGCACTCTAAAGAAAGCTTATACAAGATGTTTTGCTCTGGACTGACTTCTTAGGAATTAATCAGGATACCAGCTATACTGGTTCTTTGGCTGAGGTAGCCAAAGTCATGGAGGAATATCCCCATCTTTAACCAATAATCCGTTAGCATTCCTTACCTGCAACACATGAGGCACTGCTTCTAATAATTCAATCAGCTTGGAATATCCATAGTCTGACACCCGGCATTGCTTTGCAAAATGGTGGTGATAGGATGGGATGAAATTACTAATTCGCATGATACAGGATGGTTGGCTCTTCAGTAAGTCAATCACTTCTCTACTGAACTGGATCAGCTGGGGGTTACCTACAGGACTTTTAGACCGCAGAAGCCAAGGGTCTAGATAGTGAGGAAAAAAAAAGAACATACATTAAGACATGAAGCATGACTTCATCGGTTGGAAGAGGTAGATAACTAACCTTGGATTCCCTTGCTTGAGCTCAGTCATGACCAAGCAAATCAGACCAACTAGCTGCTTGCTTTACCTCAGTTTCTACACCCAAGTCCCAAATAATTAACAGGCTAGCCCAACTTATTTATGGGCTGGCAAAGGCTTTCCCACTACTTCTTGAAGTCAAGTTGCCAAAGCAAAGAACAGTTCACCAGTGTTAACTTAAAGCATAAGTGAAAATACAAAAGAAGTTTCCAGTTTATAAGGTGGTTGTATTTCAAAGATCCAATTGTAATGTGGTCACATGGAACATACTTTCTCACAGGAACACAGTTATAAATGGTCATCAAGCAGGTAGCCCAGAAGAGCCTAATCTATCTACACTAATAAAAGAGAAACATGGTAATTAGCGTACGACCGCTACCCTTCCCATTGGCTAATCAGCATATCCTTATGCAAATTAACTGTCAGCCAAGATGGCGGCTGGCAGCCATGCACTGAAGCGAACAGGGAGGCTTGCTTGCTCCCGTGACGGCTGACTCTAATGTTCCCCACCTGAGTTGCCGGCCTCTCAGCTGCAACTCTAAGCAACTATGTTGCAAATATAGAAGCTAAACAAAACCCCAGAAACCCGCTTTCAGTCAGCCAGGTTCAGCCAGCTGGACCGCAACATTGTATCAAATACAGAAGGAAAAACAAAGGCCAGAAACCGGCTTTCAGCAGCCGAGGCCTCAGAGCTAAAGCTGGCCCAGAATAAAAAAAAAGAAAAAGAAAAAAAGGAGCTGTTGGGAGCTTTAGTCACCCGCCAGCCGGAAAACGGCCCTCAGCCCCTCACCCAGACTGGCCAGGCACCCCAGTGGGGACTCCCACCCTGATCCAGGACACCCTTCAGGGCAAACCAGCCGGCCCCCACCCGTGCACCAGGCCTCTATTCTATATAGTAAAAGGGTAATATGCCTTCCGGCACCGGGATCAGCGGAGCAGCGAGGCTCCCAGCACCGGGATCAGCGTGACAGGGGGCAGCACCCAAACCCCCTGATCACCCTGCGGCTCTGTGTGTGATAGTGGGGAGCTCCCCAACCCCCTGATCGCCCTGCGGCTTTGTGTTTGACAGGGTGCGGCGCACCAACCCCCTGATCGGCCCTGCTCTGTGTGTGACAGGGTAGAGCCATAACCTCTCCATCCGCCCTGCCCTGAGTGTGACAGTGGCGGCGCCCCAACCCCCTGATCTGCCCTGCTCTGTGGGTGATAGAGGGTGGCGCCCCAACCCCCCTCCACGGGCCTTGCTCTGTGTGTGACAGGGTAGAGCCATACCTTCCCCATTGGCCCTGCCCTGAGTGTGAC